GACTTCAAAACCAAAGACAAAAACAAAACCAAAATAAACCCCTCCCCCAAAAAAGGCATAAATAAGTATAATGATATAAATAGGAGATTATCTTACCCATATAGATCTGTTATTATTTTTACTTCGTTTTTAAAATGTCACTTTTTCATTTCTTATAGGAAGGAAATACCGTCGCACGCAATGAGTGCGAAATTTGCGAATGTGTGTATGATGATGCTGTTGAACGACTTGTTGCCCAGTGCAGCAAGCAGTGTGACTTAACAAAAGCAGACTGCTCTGAGGTTAGTCTTATTTAGTATTGGAGAGTTTATTTAAACTGTGCACTGTTGCTGCACATTCTCATAGCTATGAAACTATTTCAATAATGGTTTATTTGGTTATATTGTTATTAATAGTGGTGATAAATTGCTTGTTACAACAATAAATGTTTTTTTTTTATGGATTTTTATTCATAGTACAAGATTAAATATAGAAAAATAAAGAAATCACATGGGCTAGGGCTGATTATTATTATTATTTTTATTATTTATATTATTATTATTATTAATATTATTATTATTATTATTATTATTATCTTTATTATTAAACAGACAAGTGTCAACTAATGATAGATTCAAACATGGACAAAATAAAAACAAGCAATAAAAAATTAAGATAATGTAGTATTAAAACGAAATGTATAAAGGAAGCTGTGGTTGTTGAGTGAACAAGCCTCCATATTAGTTTATTTTGACAACATTTTTATCGCTAACTAATATTGAAACAGTTAGGAAATTGGCAATACATGTGGCCTATGTATAGATGAGAAAATGAATAGTCATTGCCACACAATTTCAATTGACTTTAGTGTTTGATATTTTCATATACTGTATTTAGAAAACTGTTTTAAATTGGCAGTAAATATGAATCTCTTGATACTCTCAAATTTTTGTTTCTGTTTACAGATAGGTACTTTAATCTGTTTTTACTTGGTAAATGTTAATTTATTCTGCCTAACAGGAAGGAATGGTTTTGTATAATCCTGAAGGAGAATGTTGTAGATGTGTGAAGGAACAAGCAACAGAACCACCATTTTTTACAGGTACTATTGATTATTAACATTAAATTAAAAAAATTAATAATTACCTTAATTAGAACTCAGCTTATCTAAGTTAGCTAAACTGGTGGTAGTCACTGTATGTACGCTGAACCTTAGAGATCCTGTGGAGTGTTTTGGGTCAATTTTTAATGCTTTTCAACCGGATGGCTGTAATACAAGTTACTATGGCGCACCGTTTTTTTTTTTTTTTGGTTTGTTTAAGCAGTTGATCTTATGTGCAATATGGCATATATGTGCACGTTATATAATGCAATACAATATAGGTATAGGTAATAGGTATTGTCTCTTGGAGTACTGCCCAATACACCACCAGGAGGACACACAAGACAAGTTTTAGAGTTATTAGTATAATCCTTGGTGTGTTTTGTGCCAAGAATAACCTTATTCTAATCATATCCTTACTTTAATCCTATCCTATCTTTCAATATATTTTCAAATAAAAAAGTATGAAGTAAACAAGTTTATATTTTTTGTGAATCATTTAACTATATGTCGGTATTGAGAACTCTCCTCCTGATGATCTTGAATCATAATACTTGTCTATTACTATATTATGTGTATATTACAGGTTCTGAAACAACAACATCAAAAACAGCTTCGACTACTGCTAATGTTCCACAAACAACCAAGTATTTTCGTGAGTATGCTCAGATATATTCAGTTATCTTCGACTGTTTAATAGTACTCATAGTTTATATGGGTGCAGTGGTAAGGAATTGAGAAGTATTGGAATGTGTATTAATAAAGATAATTATTTTCCGTACTAAAGCTTGTCATCACATGATAATAAAGGGCCTATCATCATTACGCAGTAATTTAATTAAAAAAAACTTTTTGCTTTCTATAGCTCCCATGTGTGTACGTAACAACCAGACATACACTGAAGGAGAATCTTACACTGCTTCTTGTCAACAGTGCACTTGTGTGGAGATAGGCAAAAACAATTATGCTTGGTCATGTAAGGCGCTCCTAGGCTGTTCTAACGAGCCATGTGTGGTGAGTAAAGCAAACAATCCTATATTACACCGTACCTTCATTTTATTAATATACCATACAGAATACTTAATCACTCGAAAACACCAGAAAGACATATTCCTTTAAAGTGTCGCTTTTCAGGACAAAATTTTCCCAAGTTATTGCATGATGTAAAATTTATTGATAACTCAATATCTATGTAGTTCGGTGTCTAGTCTATTTATTGAATGCTTACCTGGATGAATTAACTAATTGTCTGTGTTTCTGAAAATAAACACCCCTTCAAACAAAATAGAACATTCCTAACCATTACACAACGTTCAAACCGTCTTTCTAGCAATATATTTCCTATATCTCATTTATATACTGCGAAATCACAACTGATTTGTAGATTTTAAGCAAAAAATTGCTGAATGTGATTAATTTATTTATCTTTTATTTTGTAGGAGGGAACTGAAAAGGAAATTGAGGGCAATTGCAAAACATGTAGATGTAATCCAGTAACAAGGATGTATGATGTTGAATGCGTGGACAATTGTAACCTTCAATGCAGAGAGGTATCGGAACACTTACATGAATTATCACAGTCTATTTATTAAGATATGAGGTTAATGATGTGCTTTTTCTGTCAATGTATCCATAATTTGAAAAACAAAACATGCCGGTTCTAGGTTGACATATTAAAACACACATTACTGAGTGCAAATGCAGTTAAAAGGAATCAGTTACTTTTCAGAATTATAAACATATAATTAATTTACAAAGTAATATTTTGAAGAAGATACATATTAATATCCATTTATATATTTCTCTAATTTATCTTATATATTTATTAAGAAAAGATAATATATATGTTGTTGTTACTGTTACATTAACTTAATTATACACCAAAGTGAACTAGTAACAGGAGAGAACATTTGTTGCTATTGCAGTAAGTACACAGTATCTCCATTTTATCATTGTTTATTATGATATGTAACATGTGTCGTATATTAATTTACTTTTTTGGAGTGTTATTTCGGTACCATCATCGACTTAATTTTAAAGAGGCTTGAACTTATGATAAACTATTGAAGAATCAGCCAGAACCACAAAAACACGTTTTGAATAATCGTCCAGTTTTACGATTAATCGTAATGAAAACTATAGCCATCATTACGGAACGATAGTTTTTGAGAATATATTAAACAGGCTATAATCTTTTATATTATTTTCAGAGCCCAAGTATCTGATTTGTATTACAACAGAGAGTCCTACATCAACACCACCCCCGACGACAAAAAGTATGTATTCAGATTCAGTGCATTTAATGTGAGGGGAATTTAATGTCCCTTGATACAATAGATGTGTATTATCTAAAACGTAATCAAACATTACATTTAAAGTTAAATAATGATTAATTGAGTTATATGAAAGATGAATGTGTCTCTGGTGGGATCCGAACCAACTTCTAGTTGTCGGGCGGGTGTCATACCCATTAGCCATGCAGAACTATGGTATATGTGCATATCTAATTCCCGGGCTCTTTCTCTTATACAGCTGACTGAGACGATCACACACAGTGGAGCTGTGGTTGAGCTAGAAAAGCTTATAAGTCGCAGTTGGGAAACTATATTAAAAAATATTCAAATCAAGTTTGCTGCTTAGCAAATGTAATAATAGCAGTGCTCGAATAGGAATATGTTGTATTAATCGTATGAAGCATAGCTCATTAAAGAAAAGTTCTCTTATTTCAGCTGTATGAATAAAAGTGTTCCTGGCAGAATTTCTTAATTAATCTGTGCAAAAATTGCTTAGTATTGTGTTTTTAATATGCCTCTGGCTTGTATGTAGATTTAGTCTGTGAGAAATTGTTTATTATCTGAAATTTAGTTTTATTGTAAAATTGGCAGTAGATATAAATCGCCTAATACTCTCAAATTCTTGTTTCTTAACAGATAGATATTTTAATCTGTTGATGTATGTATTCTAATTTTCTACAGCATCATCCGTAACAACAACTGTAACAACAACAACTATGACCCCAACTTACACCACAACAGTGACAGAAACTACTTTAGTAACAACAGAAGGTATGCACAATAGTAGATCCTGTAGAATGTAGAGGAAACGATACTTGAAGTATATTTATCAGCCTGTGTGCTTTTGTGTGTGTACAAAAAAAATACAATTTTTTTGATGTGAGACATCTATATAGGCCTACTCAGCAGTTATACCAAGGATAATTATAATTGATCTGCAAATTATACGACCAACAGGATACTATGGCATGGGTTAGGGTGGTCAGCATGTAGGCCGTAGACAGGGAATCAGAGAGTGTTTTGCATCGTGTATGATTGAAATAGGTTCTAGAAAAACTACCCAACGTGGTTCTATCTAAAATCGATATGTGTACTGTATAAGAAAACAAATAGAAAGATATTATATTGACTCGTAAAGGAAAGGTAATAATGAATAAATTGATGGCTCACTTTCATTATTGATATTTACTTCTGTTTGTTCTTTCAACATAGTTCCATGTTTGGAGCCATTGATCTCTGATAACATCAAGTATCCTTCAACTATTGAGTATTCATCATTGTCAGCTGGACTTACACCCACTCTTGATATAAGTGAAAATCAATGGAGTACTGAGTTGTCCGAAAACCAGTACGTTCGCGTAAGTAAAGGAACTTATAAGACAATGTTTTTTTTTTTACATCAGAGGATAATGATGATTCATCAAGCCCAATTGGAATCATTAAATTTCCTATCCAAGTTTGTGTATAAATCTTAAAGAATGATTTGTTTTTTGTTGTGAGAATACATTATTTTGATACAATTGGGTTTAGGCTTATGCCTTTCAATCTCAGCTAAAAATGATTTAAGCGTATCAACCCATCTTAGTATTTATACTTTAAACTCTTCTTATACTATTGACCCATGCATTAAAAACCAAATTTTTAGGGCAGCAGTTAAGTTTACGTTTTGAGTCTATAATGCTCACATGAATGTAATTCAAAGCTATGTCTCTGTGAAAGAAGATAAGACGAACATTTAAATAATTTATTTTTTCATCTTCAAATTATGAAGAATTTAAGCAAAAACATTGATATAAGATGTAATTAAGACAATATAATCTTCTTAGCAACTGTGACAAATATGGCATTTGTAACCATTGCGACCACTAAAAACAAGATACTTCTGTGCGAATAAACTTTGAAAAGGCGATTGTTTTGCCATGATGATTTTCTCTATCTAACAAAAGAAATAGGCAATTCTAATTTCCTCTATACTGTAACCAGATAAAAATTGCAATTATTTAATCTAAAATCATGCCTCCTACTCTTCCTAGATCACATTCGAGGATCCTGTCTATGTCACCGGTGTTCGAGTTTTTGGAGAAGGAAATATTGTCAGAAGATATAGGATGCTCTATGGCATGTCAGTGGATAATCTAGAATATGTGATGGATACAGAATCACTCTCTAGTTATGGAATTCCAGCATCAAAGAAGGTGCAGTGATATATTAAACTATTATTGAGAAAGAGCACAATGCAAACTAAATTTCCTCACTAAGAACATCACAAAAGAAATTAACGCCAACCAAAACATGACAGCGAGCAAAAATCAGCCAGTTTGGCTCTCCAGAACACATCCTTAATTGACTTTGTGCTTACAAAAAAACAGAAGAGAACCAAAAATTGACCAATATTTGCTGAAATACTAAATGCAAAATATTGTAAATACTATAGTGATGAATATATGATTTTGCATTTAATTTTAGGTATTTGAAGTACCAAGCTCTGAAGCAATTTTACAGTTAGGCAGCTACAATATTGAAGCTAGAGTAGTGGTCATTGAGCCAGTGTACTTGGGTGTTAGACTTCAGATGAAACTTGAGCTGTACGGTTGTCCATCTAGTACGTCAAACTACCATTTTATCAACTAATACAGTGATCGATCGATCAATCCATCTTTTAATTGATCGATCGACTAACCGACCGACCGATTGATTGATTCATTGGCTGACTGACCCACCATAGCAACAAGTGTATCCCATTGACAGTATTCTACGTTAAATTTCTTATTTAAAAACAACCAAAGACACTCTAAATACACAATTATATTTTAAATAGAAAATGAAATTGAATCCATGCTATAACAAGTTTGGTTAATTATGTTAGTTATCAGTAATTCTATCATAATTGTTATCGATAAATATTTGTTTAGGCATTGTATATACAACACCAGAACCACCAACTACGACAGAACCAACAACAGTTGAAATTACTACAGAGCTACCTACTACAATGGAACCAACTACTCTAGGTAAGTGCCATGGGATACGGTATATCTTGTACATTATGACTCCCAAGGGTCCAGCCCAAAATTTCTGAATTAATCTATTATTATTATTATTATTAGTATTATTATTATTATTATTATTGTGATTGTTATTATTAATATTATTGTTATTATTATTATAATCATTGTTATTATTATCATTGTTATTATTATTGTTATTACCACCACCACTAAGGCATATTGACATCCAACCCTTTATAAAAGAAATCAAGATAACTTAAAAGAAATCTCTATCACTCCGCTGTGATAGTCTGTCCATACTTCAAGTTTAATGTAACAAATATGCGATTGGCCTACATGGGAATGATGATGTTATATTAAATCCATATATTGGCAAATCATTATGTATGTGTCCACATAGAACTTAACATACAGATATTTACTGTGAGTACAAAGACAATACAGGAGAGAACTTAACATGAGATTTTAATTTCTAGTTTGTCCAGACTGTCGTTGTCAAGAAGACTGCTACCACGAATTTTTCTGTCCAGAGGTAGCAGGTCTACCCGAAAAATGTAGTCGTTGCGAATGTCCAGAAGGAACTTCACGTTTGAACAACGGCATGTGTCTTGTTCCAGCCGAACACTGCTCTTGTTTAAATGAGGCAACCAACGAGTACATGCAAGTAAGAACATTTAGTACTTTCATAGGGTTTATAGGCCTACTATTAATACACAAATGTATACTATTTTGCTTTTTATTCTAAAAAACAATATTTGTTTTAAAATCTAAACTTATTATTGGATAATTACATATTTCTTGATATAATTATATTTCAAATAATTATATTTTAAATAATTTTGAGTGCAACAAGAGGCATCACTACTCCAAACTTCTATTTTCATTGTTTGCACCTGTTAGGCTGGTGATACATGGTTAGAAGGCGAGTGCTTTTCATGTGTTTGTTCAGAGGAACACGAGAAACATTGCGAAAATACCTGCTGTAAGTGAATTTTACATTTTACTATATTAGATAGGCTTAAATGTATTAAAAAATCCAGTATTAATTGAGGGTGATGATTTGGTATGCCATGTTGGCTTTAGCTGATCAAGATTTGTGTAGTCAGTGTAATTTGTGTCTACTGTATATTAATATATTTATTTATTTATTGTCATAGTAAACAAATTATGTGATACTTAGAATTAATGTATATGTATCCAAATTATTATTTAAAAAAAAATTAGAAGTATGATTATTTTTGTGGCCTCAAAAATGTTGCTGTTTAACAAATTGCAGATACTACTGTTGTAACAACTATCAAACCAACAACTAAAAGAGTTACAACAATGTTTCCAACAACTGAACTACCAACAACTTTTCAACCAACAACCATGAAACAATCAACTACAACGCCTTGTATTGAGGTATTAAACGCATCCAATGTAACTAAATGAAAACGGGAGTAAGATAATTAAAGAACTTGTCAAATGTTTTAAAGCAAAATAGTACATGCCTGTAAAAAATGACACCGCTATTGTGTATTGAGAGACATGATGATGATGATGATGATGATGATGATGATGATGTGATAAGGCTGGTGGAATGAGGATGGTGATTAGGGCAAATATTGTGGTTATTAAAATGAATACTATATTGGTGCTGATTAAATGGAATGGTGATTATTGCTCTGGTGATAGTGGTGATGATGATTTATGATAATGATTACGATATTGATGATGATAGAGAAAGATATATATATCAATATATCAATATATATATATATATAATATATATATATATATATATATAGATATATATATAATCTTTTTGCTAGGAATTTTATTTTCTTATACAGTTTATATGTGAAATCATATTCCTATTTGATTAATATTGTAGGGATCTGTAACCGTGCAAGATGATTGTAATTCCTGTGCATGTATCAATGGTGAAATATTATGTGGTATGGCCTGCAACAAAGATCCAAAAAGTTGTCCTGAGGTATCATTGACAAATTGTTTTCCTTGAAATGTTTGAAATTATGTTATAGAGTTTATTGTTTAAAATTTTATTGATAAAATAATTAGCATAATCATCACCAACAGCAACATTATGCCATCTTATTCCTTACAATACACAATTTGGATGAACATTTGAATATTTTACCACCATTTTTATCAATTAAGTCTGGGTTCAATGTACATTTTACAAACCTCAAGTTCTTAAAGTTAATATCACTGTTCTATAACTTTTAGGGTGAAATGTTGGTTGACCCTGGTAATGAATGTTGTCATTGCAAACCTATAACAACAAGTAAGTATTAAATTAATTATGATTATCATTATATATCAATATCATTTATTATTCACATTTTAATTATAATCACGACTATTATCATTCTCGTTATTACCTCTGCAAGGAGATTATATTTTTACCGGATTTTCTTTTATGTTTGTGGATGTGTGTTTGTATGTTGTTCAGAAACCTCCTGCCTACAGTTTTAGGTCTATATGCGTCAGATTTTTACATATAATTTCTAATATTGAAGGCAGTTTCTTTTATATTTTGATTACAATCCAGAGTGGGATGTGGAATTCATTTGAAGAAAAAAAAACACGCTAGATATCTCAAAACTGATCTGTATAAAATTTGTGGAAGTGTTAATTTTTTTTTTTTTTTGGGGGGGGGGGGTGTCATTTAAAATGCTAACGCCCCAGACATAAATATCTCAAAAACTGATCAATAGATCTGAATGAAACTTTCTAAAATATTTTATCTTCTTCCAAAGAAGAAATAATTCAATTTTGGTGACGATCCATTTAAACATTCAGGAAGAGCTAATCAAGTTACAAGGAAGAAATGATAAACTTTTGATGACGATCCAGATTTTGGTGTGGATTTGGGGGTCATTTTAAATGTTGAAGTCCTTAAATATCTCAAACAGTTTTTGGAATGGTTTGTAATGGTTCAAGGAAGTAATCATTAAATTTTGGTGACGGTCCGTAGTAGGGTGTGGATGAACATCATTTAAACGCAACTTTCCAGTCCTAGATGTCTTGAAATCTGGTCAAAGGATCTTAATTAAACTTTATTGAATAGTTTGTTATGTTGTACTGATTCAAATATACTACCTGAAACATTCATAAACCACTGAGTTAATAAATTGTTTTCTTTTATTTTTATTTTAGCTGCATTTCCTACCACAGAAACAGGTTAGTCATATATTATGGATACACACATTATATATACAACATTTAGGTTGAATTAATTACTAAATCATATTTGTTATTGATAGTATATAGAGTACAATCAACTGTATATTGATATTTGGTACACTAGTAAATGTACATTGTGTATAAAACAGTGGTACAGAACTGAATGTTTCTGTTTTTAATTATGGAAATATAAATACTCTATTGAAGCAGTATTATTTTATCATTATTGTCATTATTATTATCTTGCCATTATTGTTATTATTATTATTATTATTATTATTATTATTATTATTATTATTATTTCACTATTATTATTATTGTTATTAAATGTATTTTGTGATCTATTCTTTAATTCTGTTATATACATTAAATATATATTTACCACTGTGAAACATAACTTAAGATATAATTGTGTTAACCATCTACATTATAATAATATCATAATCATAAACGATTGACTTGGTCGTGTAGTTTGCTGTCCAGACTTCACTATTGGAGAGCCTAGCTGCTGTAAGAACATGGAAGAATGTAGCATTGATCCTGTATACAGCTGTGGTGTCGGATGTGTATGTGATAGTCCTTTGGTGTTCAATGGAACAAATTGTGTCTTCCCAATGGATTGCCTTTGTCTGGATGAGAGAGGCATTTACCATCAGGTTAGAGATTATTTAGTTATCCTCAACGGCGGCGGAACCTTTTTGAAAGTGAAGGTGGGGGGGGGGGGTGCCATTTCAGAAGGTCCAGTATGCGAGCGAAGTGAGCATCTAGGCTGGGGGTCAGGGGTTGCCAAGGGCCCCAGTGGGGGTCCAGGGGCGAATGGCTCCCTGGCCCGCTTTCGCCGCCGTTGGTTATCCTCGGTCCTGATATCATCACTTATAAGGTTACGTTAATTTTATACCAAGAGCATTTTGTAATAGACCATTCTGCTAAGCCACGCACCTGTGTTTGTATATCAAATAAAATCAAACCAACATATATTATATTATATAACGATTAAATAGTAATTACTAAAAAACATTTAAGGTATTTATGTATATACAATGTTTTAGTAAATATAAATTAAATGGAAAGAGGCATGTGCCCTGTAAGTAAAATTAATGGGAAACAAAATCCAATTAAAACTTGTGATGGGCTAAGGTCTCACAAAACGACGGCGAAAAACGTGCTTGAACACTTGTGATAGTGAGACGTGCGCATGTTTATGGCTCTGTTCTGATTAGTCAATTGTTTAATTATACTTCTCCATGGTTTGATTGACACTCCAGAATGGTTCGTTGTAACGCTCAAAAAAGTATTATGCCTTGTATTTTCAAACTCGATTGTATGGCGATATTGTACATAATATTATATTAAGTTTGTATGCACTTTATATGGAGGCAACATGCCAATAAATGTATATGCCACAGAAATATTTAAGGCCCACATAGTGCTACCCAATGAAGCTACATTTATTACTCACTGTGTTTGCTACACAGGTATGTCATAGCGAATTACAATTCTGTATGTATAATTTCAAGAACCTGAAATAAATTGTAGGCTTATGTAAAATCGTTACCTATTTCTATATTTAAACAGCCATTGGACACTTGGGAGGATCCTGACGACCATTGTTCAACATGTAGATGCTTCAACGATGAGATAAACTGTGAGAGAAGACCTTGTTCGCAGGAGCCTAATTGTCATGAGGTACATTATAATAAGCACACAATTATTTTTATAAACATTTTAAAATTTGTGAAAAGTCGTAATATGGCTGTACAAATTAAAGGCGGGAACATATGTGAATCTATGTTCTAGATTTGTATTAAGCATTTTAATTGAAAATAATGTGCTCCAAAACGGCGGCTTTTTTCTTGTGCTGTATGTTATTTTACAACAATAAAATCATTTAATGGTTAGCTTAAAACTAAATTATCTTTCAGAGTGCACAATATTATCCAGATGGAGCCTGTTGTCCAGAATGTAGAGGTATGCCCTTGCTGAATGTTGCCCTGTTGACTGTTGGCATAGTTACTATAATTTTCTCTAGCTAATTAATATTGCCTAAGCTACTGAATATTACCTTAATTGCGCCTACTATTTGTGGTATTTTTATGATTAGGTGAATAATACACATTTTTCTAAACACACAGTAACCACGCCATTGCCAACTACCACAACAGAAATACCAACTACTACGACGGAAATGCCAACAACAACAACCGAGATACCAACTACTACAACTATGATGCCTACCACCACAACTGAGGTGCCAACAACAACTACTATGACAACCGTTGAACCAGGTAATTTTATGTGACGTTTTAAAATGACGGCACATTAAGTTGTAGTAGTAAGAAACCACATACTTAAAATTTAATCTAGAATACATAATGATTGCTCAGCACTTTAAACATCTTGATACACATTTCCGATGTACAGACCAACCCCACAAAACATTTAGGCCTAAAAACAGAATACGCATATTGTTTCTTTAGTTAACAATTATAAATACAACAACTTATTTGTATATTTCAGAATGTGTGGATCAGATTCGTAACCTGCAAGAAAACCTGGAGAACATGCGTATGACTGATACTGGAGAAGACTCAGAAGGTTTAACAAAGGCTGGTAGCTGGAACCCAACAAGCAATGCATACTTGGAAGTCACCTACTCCCTTAAGGTTATTCTTACTGGTGTAGAAATCACTAGTAACGAGGCTGCAACTGTTAGCTTTACTGTAACATTGTCGACAGTGTCTGACCCACAAGGTTATCAAATTACCGATGACAATGGAACTCCAATGGTAAATGCATATTATATCTTAACGAGTGAAGTGACTTATTAATATTCATTTTGTATTATAAAGTGCTACAGTACAAGCATAATGTTTAAGAGACAGATATTATATAGGCCTATCAAAAGGTATTCTTTTCTTTAAGTATTAATTGAAACTACTATATACTGCATTATATTGTGTAATAATTGCTCGTAGGGTAAATGTGTACTATTAAATTTTTTGAAAAAAAATTGTGTCTTTAATTATTTTTGCAGGAGTTTGTGAAAGAACTGAGCGGAAACAGTGCCACTGATAGAGTGTTGTTTTCTGAATTTGGCATTTCAGATGTATCTTCAGTTGTGATATCTTTCACTGATGTTTCCTCGCCATCTCTTTTATTAGCTATTGAATTTGTTGGGTGTATAGAGACAGGTATGTTTTATACTTAGATCTATATGTTGCCATGTACCAAGCTTAGTATTAAGTTATTGCTAAAGATAAGAATTCTTCGTTTTATTTTCTAGCCACTGTTGCTACACAAAAGCTATAAACTAATTGAAAACGAGCCTTGTTTTTTTTAAATCACGAACACATCTAGGAAACTCGATCAACTAAGACATACAGTGCAGTATTCACATTAAAGGAAACTTGTCACTCTTTAAATCATGTCTTAAAAGTTGATATGTATTATAACATCAGACCTTTTTGAGTAGTAAAGATCAAAAGAATGCTTTTATTTAAAGCTTACATTAGGTCATTAAGTACATTAAGTAGTTAGTATGATTGAAAATTAGTTAATTAAAAAAAATCATCAATCACTTTCGTTTTTAGTGTATACAACACCTTATAAACCAACAACATCAGAACCATCTACAACAGAGTTGCCAACAACTACGGAATTACCAACAACTACAGAGCTTCCAACGACCACAGTGGTTCCAACCACTACGACGCTGCCAACTACCACAGAACTTCCTACTACAATACAGCCTACAACAACACCAATGCCCACTACACCACCATGTAAGTATATTAAAACATTTAATTTATTCAATTCCTATTTAATCTGTCATTTTAAAAAAATAGATTTCTTTTTGAAGGTTCAACTAAATTGAAATAACCTGATGTATTTTCTAGTTGAGTTGATATTAATCAATAATAATGTAATTCACTTAATAATAACATTTATAATATCATTATAATAGTATGTCTAATATATATTTTTATAATAATTTCAACGACGATGGTAGTTTTTCAACCGAGTTCTTATATAGTTCCATGATTTAAAGCTTATGTCGTAATATTAATGATAATACATAATAAAAGAAATATACTGATATAATATAATGATAATAATAATAATAATAAATATTAAATTATAATAATATTACATTTTATAGGTAAGCACAACAAAATTCCATCTGACTGTTACTGTACTTCGACATGCGATGATATTGCTGAAGGAATCACTCAGTGCATAACTACCGAATGCGTCCCTGGATGCAATTGTCCTGAAGGGATGGTAGAAGAAAGTGGTGTTTGCATCACCAGAGAGGAGTGCCCATGTTATGATAGAGAAACGGATCAAGTATACCCTGTAAGTTAGTATACTTGTTTATTTAACTTTTTAAATCATTCTTGCCCTTATTCCTTCGAATAAGTAGGCCTATAATACTTTTGTCTAGTTTTTCGTTCACTTGTTCTAAGTAACTTTATGTCGGTGGTCTTAGGTTCAAATTCTTATGAGGACACTATATTTTAAACAATATATTTAACATAATAACAGATTACAAATGATTTTAATTACATTAACCTATATTTAATGTATATGTTTTGTATTGGAGTGGCACGCCCCATGTTGACAGAGGTCGTATGACATCATTTGACACTCCATAAAGTACATTTTTTTCCCTTTAAGTCACTTACCTTATTATTATCTCATCGATTGCTTTCCTGCTATAACATCTAACATTTATTTTGTTTAATAGTACGGTGAAACATGGAAAAAGGCCTGTGAAACATGTGTATGCAATGCAGAAGGAATTCAATGTCAAATAGATCGTTGCCACATCCGAGAATGCCCTGAGGTGAGTTCTTGTTCCTCAGTGCCTTTAAAGAACGTAATAAACCATACATAAATGAATTAATAAATATATATTAGTTGGTTGGTTTTTTTTAAATATATAATTGTAGCCTATCCATTTGTTAGTAAGATTTATTTTTATTTCAACTTAAAATGATTGCATAAAAACATATTCTTAATAAACTTGTATGTGAATTTTAGGGTCATGTTAAGGTTGATAATCGTAACGAATGCTGTTATTGCGAACCGGTGTCAACTACGTTGCTACCAACAACTATCATGCGTAAGTTAATTGCCAAAAAAAATTAAATCCTTATATTATTGAAAATAAACATTGTCTGATTATGTCAGAGACTTGGATTTGAAAGAAAGGGAATTAAGTGCTCTGAAATATAATCCTGCAACACACATTGCGTACATATTTTAAGCATACCTGAACCTTGTAGTAGACAAAAAGAATTGAGGATAGGCAAGTACTAAGGTCGAATGTGATAACCAAACCAATTAGGCATATTTTATGTAAGTAATATGCATTATATACACTGTTGTTATTAATCAATATGCTTATATATAAGGAAACAGTGCTCAAATCAATTGAAAATTATATATTATTAAAATCATATTATTCAACCACTGTTTTTATTAGTAGTATATATAAATTTATTTATTTATATAAGGATACATGTCAAGATATATTTATTGACTTCCTCTTCCGCCAAATGGTAATGGTATAATCATATAGACATTACTAATTTACATATAGGCCTATTTAAATAGGCATATTATGTACCAACAATTGAAGAAACATTGGTAATGAAAGTTTTGGCTCACCCCGTGTCCTACTGTTCACTTTATTAGCAAATGTTTGGTAAACTGTTAGCAAATAATTAATTATAATTATATATCACGTTTGACTTTTGTAAAACGTTTGGTAGGGGTTTAAAAATATTCCGAAAAAAAATTAATAATTTGATAAATCATTCAAAGGGCTATTAACAAGACAAGCTATAAACTCGATAGTAGACTAATACGTATTACACACCCTACACAGGTCAGCAATACTCTTTAACTCTGCAATGAGTGTTAACGTTATTCCACAATTTGGCATTTTGTTCATATTAAGACTAGATGCAATATACATTTTAAGGAAAGCAGGCCTACATGTGTTTCTGCTACTATTAACCTGAACAATGAGGTAAGGCATGTATTTATTTCCCTGGTAGCATGTGTACCTCCATTCGAATACCGTGAGTTCTGCGAATGTCATGAGACATGCGAATCTCTGCTATCGGGCTATGAATGTACCGAGGTCAACTGTAGAAGTGGCTGCCACTGTCCATCGGGCACCATTCGTGAAGGGGATAGATGCGTTGTACCTGCGGAATGCCCATGTATGCATGGCAACCAGAGATTACAAGTAAGCAGATTATTTTTTGAATTACATATTTATAACATGTGTAACTGGAACTATAATTGTACATGTATGTCTTATACTTTAACTCATGTCATCCTAATAATAGATTTACTATTGAGAAAAAAGTGAAAGAAAGCGTCTATTATTTGGTTTTTTTTTTAAATCTCTAATTCAAGTTTTCCAAGACTTCAGTTTACTATAAAATCACGTTTACTTGATTACTTTGTACACTGATTGATAAGCTGTTTTTGTTTATCGTTTGTAATGGTCATTGTTCTCAATAGAGAGTAAGGGAGAGAAGCGAACGCACGCTCTAGTAACATAAATAGGTTAAAAACTATAAATTTAAGTGCTTTGGTAATCGTACGTCAAAAATAATCCCTTGCTGTAGTTTCTATGTCAAGGCCCAAGGAATATTATTATGATTATTTTTATTTTATTTTATTGTTACTATTTTATTGTTATTTGCTATATTATTTCTCTGTAAAGCGCATAGGGGCAATGTGCAATATGCACTATATAAATTTATTATTATTATTATTATTATTATTATTATTATTATTATTATTATTAACAAGTCATACGACGTATTAAAATCTAAAATATAATTACATTAAATGTAAGGTATTAGTTATTGTTAATGGTTCTATTTTTTTTTATTGTTTAGTATGGCGAAACTGTTTGGGAGAGTGCTTGCGAAAAATGCGTATGTCAAGAAAACCAGGTCATGAACTGTACCAAGACTTGTGATAAAGTCTGTGCTGATGTAAGTTACTTCTTTTTTTCTTTTTTGCAAACCTCAGCATACTTAAGAATTTTTGCATGACAAGCGATGTAGATTTCTCATACTGTGTCTACGTTCAGACTTGGAGATAAGCCAGGCTTGAGTTAAGCCCGGCTCAACGCTAAGCCCGGCTTAACTTTTGCAGGCGTTCAGACTAGCGGGACTAGTCAGGCGCGAGAATTTTCATAATAATGAACCGTAACCACCAAACGTGTTTCAAAACATTGCTAGTGAAACGTACGCTCGCTCACAGCGTAAGTAATGGAATGCTGATTGGTCATTTTGTTACCCGAAGTCAATGCAAGACCCCCGGCAACGATTAAAGCCCGGCTTAGAAAAGTTAAACACGGTGGCACGCCAGGCCTAGTTACTATAGGAACACAGCCCGGCTTGAGATAAGCCACCTAGTTCAGACTGGCAGGTGGATAAACCCGGTGAGTTGAGCCGGGTTTATCCACCTAATCTGAACTACACCTATGTATATTTCATCCATGATAGAGTGGCAACTTGGTTGAGATACCCTGGCCTTTTATTAAAACATTCAGTCAATTCAGTCGTTCAGTCAATATTACAAGTATAATATCCTATTAACTTGCCTTAATGTACCTTGCAACCAGACTCAAGTATGGTTTCCATACTATCGTTGCACGCTTTCGGTGATGCTGACTGTTCGGTCGAAACGGGGAGCCTTCCCGATTGCGTAAGGAACTGCTCGACGCACGGTACGATGGCACTGAAAATACTGTAGCGATTTTATGGAAACTTGCTTTACTTTAAAATAATTGTAAAGGCCTAATCAATCTTTATCAAATTGGTGAGTAACTTCCTATTGCATGAATGTAACGGAACTTAAGTGAAATACTTTTTTGTTTTTATCATTACTGTTTTTGATTGAGGTATTTATCTTTTCGTTTAGAACTTTGTATAGAAATTAACTAACAATTATTAAACATGTTGTTGTTTTTTCTTTTAAATTAAAGAATGAGGTACTAATGTCACCGGAACATGGTTGTTGCTACTGTACGAGAAGTAAGTGTCACGTTTTTATAAAGAATATTAATTATAATAAAATGAAAATGGAAAACATTGAAACATTTATATAAAGCATTGATAATTAATAATAAAACATGTGAACCAAATGTCAAAAAATAAGTAATATTCAGTTCATTTGAGAGCCCCTCCCCTTAGATATTGTTGTTAAGGTCCACAGTATGACAGCCGTACCGTAATATTGTATATCTGTGTATTTGACGTGACATATGCATATACCTTGCCACTTCTTATTGAATAACACGCTCTCATTGGTCAGTTAAGTTTAATTGACACTCCGGATAAGTATGATTTATTAGGTAATGACTTTATTAAAACACAGTTTGTTAATTTACATACGCCACCTTACTTTATACGTTGCAAATTAAAATGTTGTGTCCATCAACAATTTTTAGAAAAATACCCAATTACATCGGCATTAGGTTTTTTTTTAAGTGTTTGATGAATGTAAAGGCTGGTAAGTATAATCCGCATTGTTTGTGTAGTGCATTACAACAAAAATATTTCTATAGAATTATCTTATCAGCATAGAAATTTTTAAAATTTCAACGAAAATATTTTGTAAATGTTATTACACAGATTTTATTTACATTTACTACATTGTTTAATCTGAGTTACATTTATTGTTGTATTGTATGCAATTTTGTAATATGTATATAATATATATTTTTTCACAGTTACAACAATTAACCCAACAACGCTGTCAACACTGATCACTACTATAACAACAAGTAATGTCACTGAAATGACAACTCCATCAATATGTGAGGGATGCGTCATTGATGGCGAATGTGTTGGGGTATGTTACAATGCTAAAATGTCACAATGTAAAAATAATAATAGTCTTATGATATGGTAATGCTATAATGATGAAAATGATGATGATATTTATAATGATGATGATAATTATGACGACGACGATTCATATTGCGCTGTTCATTGACGCATTGTCATTAGAATTCTAGTGCCTTTTCTTGTTTAACACTAAATCAACACCTTTTATGGTATCGATAACTTTATTTACTTTTTTGTGTAAATTAATGACTGGTAAGAACAATGGCCTTGAAATCTTACAATGAAGTCTGTAATCTGGTAGAGTAGCAGATAGATCTATCATGTATTTATGAAATTTAACAACTACAAAGTTAAAAGCAAATTCGGTTTTGTAATCCGAGAGGCCTATATCAATGTCATTTATGCTAATTAAATTCAGTAAATTTAAATGTACTTTCTATTAGATTGGTACAAAATGGTCAGATGAAGATAACTGTAAAGAGTGTGAATGCACAATTAACAATCTTGAAGTCTGTACAGTCACTGAATGCGCGAATACAAACTGTCTGGAGGTAAGACATGAACCATTTTGTTATCAATAACTACAAGATAAGACGAGACGAAATTTCTCTTATTGCGTATGTACGTGTAATAGGGGCATATTGTATCTTTAGGAATCATGGTAGCTAATTATACTTTTACATTTTTATAAGTATGAGCACGACAGAGTTCTACCTAGGTCTCTTCTACTATATCTTGGCCTAAGCCGTAGCAGTCATCTACACATACGCACTGCAGCTTACTCGATACACCGTTCTCTGTTTCGCCTTCAGTTCACCTAACTCACCTAAAATAGCGCCCTATAATTTCTGCCTTAACTGTATGGGGAAAAAATAATGCCGCCGGCTCGCCCCCTTTTATAAATATTAACAATCTTTGGTTTGCTAATGGTCCATCTATTAGCTACGGTATACACAACATAGTTGTTTTAATGATTTTTTTTTTTTATTAGAGATGTATATTTCAATCACTTCATTTTTATTGAAACATTATCTTCTGTTTCTTTAAATCAACTACAGGGCCAATTTCCGTACAAGCTACCCGGTGAATGTTGTGAAAGATGCTATAATAACCAATGTGTACCTCCTATGTATCCATGTGATCCGGGTAACTGTACAAACAGTTTCAACGTTTGCGATGGTAAATGTGATTGCAGTAGGTGCCGTGATGAAAGCAATTGCCCAGGTAAACAGATAAACTTAAAATGAGTCTTATTGCTACGTAACTTCATATTCTTTATCAACTTGACTGTAAAATTGAAGGAGTATGAAATTATAAATAATATGCATATACTTACATACATACATACACACACACTCCCACACCCCCCCCCCACGCTCAATATATATATATATATTATATATATATCAATATAACACGTGAAGTGATTAACTCTAAATCGTCTTGCATTGATGTTTTATACACATAAATCTTAAACGGTAAAGAAGGGAAATCTGCGAGTCCGAAAAAATTTCCCAAACCGGGATTCGGTGTATGTAGACACCTTAATCAACTGGGCCATTGGTATATAAACACGCCTAAAAAATAATATGATTAGATGTTTTATTACTATTTAATTTACTACACACATAGTGTGACACTCTTTAGAAGAGTACCTTTAATTGAGATTTAGCCATTTTCAGTCCAATTAAAAACTTTTTTTTGTTAAAGTGCTGTGCTTGATACAAATACAATACAATATTTGAGCGCTGTTTCTGTCATTTACCATTACTAACGCAGGAACAACTATAAAGCGCTACATTTTGTTTCTTTTAGTTTTTAAAATTGGAACTTTCTTTTTTAGAAACCACAACAGTTTCAACAACAAGTGAATCTACTACAACACCATATCGTCCACGTAAGTTTACTTATAAACTCATTCTAAATTGAGCATTTAGCCTGTTTATACATAGTTATTGCTTTCGGGTGCAGCATATTGATTCTATACCACTTAATATATTGTACTGCCTAAACATAATTTTGGACGTTGTTTATTTCACTAGTCAACTTTGTGTTTAATCATTTTCTGCAGACGATAAAGCAATTAGTAATTGTGCACGGAATAAAATGTTTTTTTTTTAATTCTTTGTTCATTCTTTCTATATTAATGAACATTATCATTGCAAGTAAGTTAATAAATATTGAGCTTATACGTTATTTGTCTTAAGACTTATTGTTTGCTTTAAATATCTATTTAAATATTCTGTTTTATATTTAGCATGTGTTCCTCCCGAGCATCAGGTACCATGTGAACCCGGTACATGCCGAGAAGATGTTTGCCAGAGTGTAGAATGCGAAGAATATTCAGAACTTTGCTGTGCCTGCGAAGGAGATCGTGTCTACAATGGAACACATTGTATCCCTAAACATAATTGCCACTGTATTTATGAAGGCCACCGCTATAATGTAAGGCTCCAAAAATTGTGTTAAAAATAAGGCAAACTAAAAATATACTTGTTAAGCGTCGACCTTCTACTGTTAAAGTACATGGCATTTTAAAAAAGCGAATTAACCACACATGACATTTATTGTGTTAGACCTACAGCAAATATGTTGTAAAATGTTTACATAGCAGGTTGTAAACAATGCATGCACAGATTAAAAATCACCCAGTAATCAACATATTATAATAGGCTAGTATTTCATGTGGTTTGGCGTTTGTAGTCTAATCATCTCGCTGACTTGACAAAACGTCTGATGAGGTGATAGTTTAAAATATTTGTCGAAAATAACGTCCACCTTGATTTTTAAAAATAATTATGATAATAGTTGATGACAGTTTTCTATTTAAAAAGTAACTAAACTAAATTAAATTAGTTCATGTTTTCTTTGTGGTATAAATTCAATAAATATGTATGTAACAGAAATTATGGAAATGGTAGGTTTAATTAAACTACGTAAATTTACGTTATATAAACAAATAGGCCTAAATGAAAAGGTAACAAATATGCATAAATATGATACTGTGAGATACCCAACAAAAGTCTTAAAAAGGTATACAAATATTGTTTGTACTTGAGCAATAGGATGACTATAAAGAGCAACATAGACAGTATAGTACAACGTAGCCCTCAGCGACTTATCGCTGACAATGCAACTGTTTCCCCGACGCAGGTTTACGACGACTTATCAAGAGGATGAGGAAATTTCTGCTTATAACAAATTATAATCAACTACTGTAATAATAATAATATTAATAATAATAATAATAATAATAGTAGTAGTAAAGATAATAATATTAGTAAAGATTATAATACAAATAATAATAAAAATAATAATAAAATAGTAATAACTAGACTTATCATGTCTGTTTGAACAACAGAACATAGAGGCTTTTCCCTATTGCTTTAATGAGAAATGAACTTAAAATTCCAACAAAAAGAAAAGTCGTTAAAAGGTATAAAGTAAAAAAAACCAAAAAAAAAAACACGGAAAACCAATATAATTTTAATGAAGTAGGGAAAAAACGAAAACCAAGTTCACTGCGCCGTTTATTGTGAGACTTAAACTATGGCTGCAACGGTAATAACGAGGTACATCGTGACTCATAACCATCGCGCGCCACATGAGCCGACCTTGAATAGGAAAGTGCATTTTTACAAAGTATTATAGAATGTTTCATTTAATAATAATTGAGGTCTGGGTCCTCAAAAATTGAAAAGACCCTCCAATTTACACACTTCACTGGATTATAACTAACGCATAAATAAAAGTTTCTTCCTTGTAACTTGATTAAACTGTCCCGTAAGTTTTATTCATATCAACTGACCGTTTTTTGAAATATCCGGTGTTAGACTGTTTTATTACCTTAAATCATTTTAATCGGTTCTCACATGCACACCCCAACATAGATTGACACGAAATATTAGGAGGCACATCTTTGATATATGGCCTATGCTTCGGCAAAGCACGGAAAAATGTTAAGCATGGGAAGTGACCAAAGTGATGCGCAGAAAAAAAAACCGTGCAAAAAGATAGGAAAAATATATGCAAGAAAAAATAAAAAATAATCAGAACAAAAACAATGGCTTTTCCCAGTACTGCTCGGAAAGCCAATAATAATAATAATAATAATAATAATAATAATAATAATAATAATAATAATAATAATAATAATAATAATAATGATAATGATAATAATAATAATAATAATAATAATAATAATAATAATGATAATAATAATAATATCAATAATAAATAATCATTTTAAAAATCTTAAGCATTTAATCAATCCAAATTATATTGATTGACTTGTTTTATTATGTTTAGGTTGGAGAAAAATGGTCACCTGAACATTGCAGGGAATGTATATGTGAAGGAACAATTGTTGAATGCTACGACCAGACTAATTGTATAACAACAACAGTAATGCCAACAACAATGCAAATTTCCACTACAGGTACATATAAAATATATATATATATATATATATATATATATATATATATATATATATATAAAAACTTACATTGGTAGTACTATATGTTCATATAGGGTTGTATCCATCCTGATATATCTTTTGAAAATGTAAACATTATGGAACGCATCATTCTATTAGATGGTACATGGTCAGTGACAGATTGTATGCCTATTACATGCTTAAAAACATGTTATGATAAAGCTGCCTAACTATATTTAAATCATTATTAAACGCTACATAAACAGTACTGTAGATATTAATTGTGTTACATTGATAATTATATATATTATTCTATTGTTGAATACTCAGAAGGGGTATGTGATGACAACTGTGACTGCTACATGGACTGCAATGGGCATATTGATTCCACCTGTATGTTCAATAGACCGGATCATTGTACACATTGTAAATGTATACCGCCAAAGGTCCAAGGCAATAATTACTGTGGTGTGCCAACTGATGAAACTTGTACTACGACCCTATCACCAACGACAGCTCCACCAACGACTATCATTACAACAACTCAGCTTCCAACAACCACAGGTGAAATGTTATATTTTTTCTTTTCGATAATTGACCTAAAAAGACTACAATATAATATCTTTTTGTGTTTAGCTAATAAACCTGATCATTTGCATTGAGATGATTGCTTTGTATACCGTAAAACCTCGAATTGAAGCCCTGGGCTTCCCTTTTTTTGCGAACTTTGGAAGGGCTTCTTTTTGAGATAGGCTTTTTTTTTATAGATAGGCTTCTTTTCGAGATGGGCTTCTTTTCGAGACTATTTTTCCANNNNGGGGGGGGGGGGGGGGGGGGGGGGGGGGGTTTCTTTTCAAAATTATTACTGTAAATTTTGTGAATTTGTACTATAAAACAATAAATAAGGCCAATGTAACATCAATCTGTATCATGGAGTGTATTTAACTGCATGTATTTAATTTATTTTGTTTTCTGAAATTCATGACCGTGTATGTACTGTACTATCTCGAAAAGATGCTTATGCTATGCCATGGGCTTCTTTTCAAGATGGGCTTTCGAGGCTAATTTTGCAAACTTAAGAGGGGGCTTCAATTTGAGATGGGCTTCATCTCGAGACTAAGCCCACTGGGCTTCAATTAGAGGTTTCACGGTATTTCAGTAAATTAGTAACCTTCAAATATAACTTTTAGTGAGAAAGCATTTCCTTGCATACAACATAATAGTATTTAAAATATCTTTATTTGGAGGCCTAATTAATTTATATATTTTTTTTATATTGATTATTTACTTTGCAGTGTGCACCATACCTTGTAAGACAGAAATAAGCTGCGAGGAATATGACTTGGGAGTATTGAACAGTGATGATTTATTTGATCTTGTGCTAAGCCGCGTCGATGTCAGTTGTCTCGTTAATGACTGCCTCTGCCCAGCTGGATCTTACATGCTTTACCATTCAGACTCAAGAGCTATTTGTATAAGCAATGAAGGCAGAGAGCAATGTAATTGTGAGGTAATAACCAACATTAATAACATTATATATGATATTAGGCACTGCTTTTATTGTAAGGAGATACTGTCCACTTCAGTTGAGCTTACTGTGCCACTGATTTAAAATTCCGAATAAATGAGTAATAAGAAATTTAAAATTTTGATACAGAATACTAGTAGAAAAGAAGCATAGCTGTAGCAACATAACTAAATGCTTCTACAGTTTTGTTTAAAGTTATGACAGCTAAGCAATTTTAAAAGCTGAGAAAGCAATTCATTTTAATCAGCGGCGGATCCAGCCCTGCAAGGAAGAGGGAGCGTGGATGTGCGAACTGAGTGAGTCTCATGAAAGAACCTCTGGTAGGGGTGCAAGAGGGTTAATCTCCATTAGATCTTTAGCACCTTTATTAATTAAATGTTATATTTCATTGATTTTTACTATTTAGCTTGGTGATTTATTGATAAACTTTACACAATTTCTTTTTCTTTCTTTCTTTTTTTTTTTTTTTTACAAAAAATAGAAATAATCCGCCACTGTTAATATTGCTAGGTACGGTATTCTACCACTGTAAATGTCGTTCAATAGTAAGCTGGTGCAGCAGTATTGAATTGACTGTCAACAGGTCTATTATACTGATCAAACACATAAGCACATTTACACTAATTAGCATCCCAGCAGAGTACTAGCTTCTCAGAAGATTTGTAATCGCCCTGTCTTCCTGTTTCACTTGTTGTTTGTGCATTAGGTATTATAACTTGAGTATGGTAAGGTTCTAGTTGGTTCCTGATACTTGCAAAATATGCACAGAAAACAAAATGTTTATTTATGTTATTAACTGTGTAGATATGCTAATTGAAAATCTGCACTTACACTACAATAAAACTGAAAACTAAAATCGATGAAGTTTTCTTAAGTAGTCAAATCATTTCTACTAAAATGTCATCACAATGTAAAGTTATAAAAATTAATGATGTGTTTGTAGTGTGTATGTGGATATTTTTTTTCTGTTTTGAATTGTTAGGTCAAGACATTGTTCCTTGCATTTGACTAGCATGCACTGCAATGTTATCTTTTCTCATGAATATGTCTTTGTCAAAACTTTCTTCTATCCTAACTTTAATTGTGACTTATGACTTCTAATTTTACAAATCTGCGGAACAGAACCGATGAATGTGAGCCTGTTCAAGTCAATGTAATTTAGTGGACATTTTTGTGGTCTATACATTACTATCAAAAAGCCCACTTTGCCGTAAATTTGCATACATTAGGTACAGTGAAATATAGCACGCAATTTATGGCAAAACACTTCTGTAGATACTGTTTTCAATTTTTTTAAAGTCATTTTGTTCATGTAGGCTAGGTATTTGATAAAAGTTAAATGACAAAGAGTGATATTATAGCAAAGTCTAAATGGCGTATCTTTTTTTATTTGAAGGAGGACTATTATGCAGGAGATTGTGAGTTCTGCGAGTGCCGATATGACGAGATATTTCTAGGCTACCGCTACGAATGTAGCAGAGTATGCCGATTAACCAAAGCAGATTGTGCAGAGGTAAAGTGCTTGGGTTAAACTTAACAAATTCGTAACTACGGTGGATCTAAACAGAGGCACTGGAATTTTCTAAGTAATATAATACAATTACACTCAAAAAGATAAATAGATGAAAATCACCTCACAATATTTTATTTTTTCCAGCTAGCACCTATTAATATTTCCCATCTCCATGATAATGCCTCTAGATAGCCTGTTGTTGTGCACACCTTACAAATCGAAGGTTTAATTCTACCATGATACACAGTATTTTTATTATTTTTTATTAGGTATTCATTTCAATGTCAAATAGGCCTATATTAAAACCTATTATAACGTATACATCTTTAAAATTAGAATGAGGTTTTAGTTGATGATGGTGTGAACTGCTGTTCTTGCGTTCCTACAACAACAACGGTCACAACAGTACAAACAACCATCACGCCAAGTAAGTTGATTATTTATCAAATTGTGTATTCTAATAGCCTAACAGAAAAATTACTTTAACAATAACAGCAATAATAATAATCTGAACATATATAGCCCACTACACAATTGTAATTATATAAAATAAAAATCACGTGGTATCTGGCGCTCAGCGAAAACACCTGAATGAAATTGTTTAAAGAATTGCGTTTTTAGAACTGACTTAAATTTATTTCAAAAGTCTTTTCCATGTTCACGAGCAATTTTGTTCCAAAGAAACGGTAAAATGGCAAAGAAACATTTGTGGAATGTGGCAAAGAAAGATAGGTTATCATTTGTTTTTACCTTCTAAACTTAATTAAAATATATAGGGCCTATGTCCGATCTTATTTCCATCTAATACCATTAATTTCATCTCGTAAATAATTTCTTAAATCATTCATTAAATATGTTCAGCACTATATTTTTATAGTATAGATACTAAAAATTATATTGCCTTGTTATGCTGAAAACATTTTAAAATATTGTACTTTAAATTATTTTCATGTTCAATTTTCATAATTTGAAACGATATTAATGTGCTGGATTTTTCTATTACAGTATGTATCATAATTACCAATATTTATGTATTTTAATTTTGAGTATTGTTATTTTTGCTTTTTGCTAAATTGCATTTTATATACTAGGTTACAAATTAGATGTATTCCAAATAATCTCTGTATTGTCTTTCCGTTGTCTAATTGACTCTTCTGACTCTTATAACTATTACCAATTGATAAATTTAAAACTCTTTTGATTGATTGTGATTCTTGCAGATGTGCGATGTTAATTTTTTTTTTATAGAACATGATTATGTTATTAACGCAACAATCTGATATGTATATATTTATGTATTTATTTGTGACTTGTGTCAACTTCATTATTGTTTACGTAATGCAAAATTAACAATTCGTTTGTTAAAAACCCAATAATTAATCATTTAATTTCAAATAATTATGAACTTATTTTTTAAATTTTCAACTGTTTTTTTAAAGCTCAAACAACTACAGTTACAACTAAGATGACCACAAGAATGCCAACAACAGAATTGCCAACTACCGCAGAGCTGCCAACTACCACAAAGGTACCGACCACCACCGAAATATCAACAACATCCGTAGTGCCCACCACAACAATGTGGCCGACTACCACTGAAATTCCAACAACAACCACAATGCCAACTACGACGATGTGGCCAACCACCACAAAAATGCCAACAACTACCAAAATTCCAACTACAACAGAGTGGACAACCACTCCTAAAATGCCAACAACCACTACCAGAATGCCAACGACACCAGAATGGATAACCACTACTAAAATGCCGACAACTACCATGATGCCAACCACGACTACAAAATTGCCACCCACAACAGAGTGGTTATCAACACAGAAATCGACAACTTTAGTACCAACTACAGAAGAACCAACAACAGTTACGGTCACAACACACGAGCCTACAACATCAGGTATGATTTCAGTGTATTTCCTAATCTGTAAAAACAGAAGCATCTAATTATATTGCTGAATTTAAGAGAGAATAATTCTAATACCTATGATTGTTTAGTAAAGTATATAGACATTTATTATTTGGGGTGAAAAATATAATTGTAGGCTAATAGTACTAAAGCAAGTAATGTAATGTAAAGTAACTTATTGGCCTTAAGTAAGTAAGTAAGTAAAGTAAGTAGGAAAAGCTACATGGATTCTGATAACCCCTGGTAACTCGCTAGCTGCACAGCAGCGCCTCCCTGGTAGAGATTAGGACTGTCTCTTGCACATGTAATACTAATGTAAGTTCGCTACTGTGCACATGTGCCATATTGAACTTGTGACCAACGGTTTAAATTGATAATTACGGAATACTTTCCGATATGATCTGTATTTTCCAATGATGGTTCCATGTACACTAGTTACTCCTAGTTTTAATCAACCACATTATGCTGTTTTCAATCAATTATTTGCTTTTAAATCTGAAGACATTCTAAATAATCTGTAATTTCTAACAGACTTACTGTATGCATGTTAAATTGAAGAATTTTTAAATGTTGTACGGGAAAGCAATGCAATTTGTTTCTTAATTTTGATGTTGTTTGCATCACGAAATTTGATAGGAATAGTGTTTTGCTCTACCGGACGTGTTATCGTACTGAATGCTCAGTACGTTCCCAAATCCAGATAACAGGCCTGGTGTCATAACAACCAAACCACTGAGCTCGCGCTTTGTGGCTATTGTCGCATCCGATCCCCAAGTGGCGACGAGTACTGCAATGCTAATTTGGATGTTGCTTCTTTATATTGAAATGATAACTACATTATTTGCATTTGATATAAAAAAAAAACCTACAGCTACTACCACTCAAGAGACAACAACAATGGGTAGTACCACGCGTGTGACAACAGTTACCACTAAACCAACAACAACGACGATGACTACGGTGACATCTAGTCCAACAACCACCATGATTGTTAAGACCACAACACCTGAACCATCAACTACCCCACCAGGTAAGCAAATTGTTGTTTTTCTTTTTGTGGTTTTTGATGCTGTATTACAATATTTTACCTTCATAGTACCTCCCATTTCCGTTGGTATTGATAAAGCAACTATGACATTGCATTATTTATCAAGCTCAATATATTGTATTATGACTTATTATACCAGCTGTATGTGGTGAAGAGCTACAGGAACTGGACATCCTAGACCAAGAAAGGACTTTTGGTGATGGCGAAGTTGACATCAGTCATTCCACTAAACTTGATAGCCAAAATCCATGGATTCCAGATTTGTCCTCAATCAACTCCGTTAAGACTGCCTTCACTCTCCCAGTGGTGTTGGCAAAATTAAGAATAGCAACAAGTGGGTTCATAGGTACCCTTTCAGTCACTCTTGAATGGACGTTGTCTGAAACAAAAAAAACAGGAATATTGATGGATGGTGACGGTCAGAAAAAGGTATGAGTAAGAAGATTGTAGTAATACGTACATACGTAGTAGAAAAAAAATTAATATTGTATTTCATCCCCATTTTCATAAAGATAAAAACGACTTGGTAGACATAAAGCAAAAAAATTATGAAAAACATGAATATTTCAACTCGTCCTCGGGTTTTCTTCAGCATGTGTGACACAAACGAAATATAAGTTGGATATTATTAAAACCTTGATAAAGTAATATTATAATTGGTCGAAAGTTTAAATATAATATAATGTACATGGTGATAGGACCAAAATACTAGGGGGCGGAGTAAGTAGTAGGCATAATGATTAGAAGCTGAAATTATAATGAGGCTGATAATCAGTGTGGGAAAACCGATCTCTGTCAACAAGTTTAAGGAAGGAAATAAACAGTAGCAGTTGATAAACTAGCCACTCTGATTACACTCTTCAAACGTGATAAATACGCCTTAAAACTAAAAGAAAATGCATACGTTTAGAGTCCGTACTGAGCCCAAAAAATCCGCAATGAAAATATAACGTGTTATAAACTAAAACATACTAACATGCTAGTTTAAAAACAAAGAGTCAGAAAGGCTAAAAATCTATATATAATAAAATAGAGAAATACAAAAATGACTATAAATTTGCTAAACAATAATAGGCTGTCAAAAAAATACAAATGTGATACAAACTTATATAAATCAATTGGTCTATAAATAATGTGAAAAAACCCTGAGAAAATAAAATAAATTATTACATTTTGTTGTATATTTAAATGCCTTGTGCTGTTTTCACTTGTTCGAAATTTTGGTGGCATTATCTATGAATTACTAATATGAATTAAGAATATACGAAATTATGATGATCCCGAGATCCTTGTTCAGTCCGAATATGTGGGTTTTGTGTTTGATTATGTGTCTGAGTTCTGACATGCGCCTTTTATTAAAGGATGAGAAATTAGTGGCAATGAGGGTACAGCGCATGTCATTTATATTATTTATTTTTTATGTGCGTCTATTTGTATACGTCTATCAATGTACGTTCATAATTTAACTAAGATACCACTTTAAAGGCTATTGTTCTCCAACAGTTTATAAACTAGGTATAATTGTGAAACTTAGGGAGTGGGACTGTTTCTAGTGGTGAGAAAATTCTCAGTTTTTACAGGATTTGAACCAAGAATCGTGAGGTAGAAAGGCAAGCATCGTAATATTCACTAAGCTACAGCGTAAATAAAGTTAAATATAATTTTGGAATTAGTATGTTCAGTAATATGCTTTAACCTTACTAATATTGTACTAAACCTTAACAATGTTTTCCATGTATTTGAATTATTTTTTTAAAACTAATAATGATACTTTTTCTAACTAACTACCACCACCACCACTACTACGATAACTGCTACTACTACTACTACTACTGATATTACCACTGCTGCTACTGCTACAACCACGGCTGTTGCTAGTGCTATTATTGTTAATATTATATTATTACTGTTATTATTATTATTATTATTATTATTATTATTATTATTATTATTATTATTATACATTATATTGCTTTTTTGGCAATTACAGGTCATTGTATTTGAAGTAAAAGATGGTGAAATTGCTAAGTTTATCCCGTCATCTGAGATGCCTGAGGTTGATGATGTCACTGTTACCTTCAATGAATTACCTACTAGGGTTGGCACCGGCTCCTTAACATTTGATTTTACTGGATGCGTTGCTGAAGGTATAAGTCTTGTACTGACCCTTCATCATTCCTAGTTGATTTTTTATCCATTTGATATTTATTTTTCTTTATTTTATTTGATCGTCTATCCATCTATTCATTATCCACCTACGCATCCAACCATAGCATTGTATTGTATTTAGAAAATTGTCATAAACTACATAAACGATTTGAGAAAAAAAGTGTGTATAAAATGATTATATTTATTATTACTGTTATACAAAACTATTCTTCCATGTTTTAGTTGAAACCACTTCTGTAGTAACTACTGAAGTGACCACAACACCAACAACTACCACTTCTGAGACAACCAAGATGACAACCAAGGTGTTAACTACACCTTATATTTCAACAACCACTAGGACTACGAAGATCACAACTATTACAAAACGTAAGACTGGAGTTTTCTTCTGTATTTATAAGAATTTCTAACATTGAGTGTTAGAATATGCATGGAATATCTAAAGACGAGGAAAATTAGGGAAATCTGTCCACTATTTTCAAATCATGAATTTGTCTTTGTTAATGAAAACAAGACTTTCAAATTAGTTATACTATTTGCTATAATAAACCCAATTCTTTCTTTAAGCAAATAGTAAACAAAATTCTGTCTAATGGAATTATATAATCTGTAATTACTATGAACAGCACCGTGTCAAGATCAACTTGGAATGGACCTTGACTTGGAAGGTGAACGTACAACCTCTGACGGAGTGGAGTTTGCAGACGCCACTAAATTCAACTCTGATGTCGAACCATGGTTCCCAAGTATCTCAGAGTCCTACCCATATGTTGAGGTCACATTTAGTACACCAGTCAGGGTTACTGCCGTTGCTACCCTACTTGTATCAGACCTTGGAGACTTATCAGGCGTCAAGAGCTTTGAATTGTCATACACAACAGACGATATAGAGTTTGTGTTTGTAAAAGATTCTGATGATCCTACAGCTGAAAAATTGGTAAGTTGCTTGCAGTGAAATAGACAGAATGATAAAATTTAGAATATCTTGAAGCACATTCGCGTGAAATATCAAGAGCATTTATCCATAATGTAGACTGCAGCCCTTTTAAATAAATAATTGATAATGGAGTGGCCGGTCTTACCATTATAAAACAAATTATTTCAAACCATTGTACTTTACTGACAGCTGATATAATATAACAATTTGATTATGTCAATATGTTGGGTAAGCTTTTTCAATCATCCGTTATACTATAGAGTTTATGTTGGTCATATGAACCTCACAGGTGTAACGTTCATTTTCAATGCTAGGTTTAAGTTGTTAGCAGGATGTATATGATCGTACGACTTTCAACTTCAAACCGATTAATCTGTATAGAATTATGATTAAACAATGAACTTGCAAAAAGTAATCACAATTTATTGCTTCTTTTATAAGAATCAGTGTATGAACATTGTATCAATGTTTATAGTATTAAGGTTTATAATATTGAATATTTGAATATATTATGTGTTTACATATCATTGTATATATATATATATACATATATATATATATTGTATATATATATATATATATATATATACGTTGCATATATACAGTGTACCATATATATATATATATATAATATATATATATATAATACATTTAAGATAGGCCTAAAATAAAACATAAAATTGATTAACCCAAATAATTCTCATTAAAATGATATTTACAAGTGAAGCCAGTGCTATTTTTATTAATAATTTTTCAACTTTAATTTAATAAAAATAACCTAAATATTCTTTCTGAGAAGACATGCAATATACCAAAGAAACCTTACTGCGCTTGCTGACTGTGTACTGTTGACAGTATATTAGCAGGAATTGGATTTTAAAATGTAAACTTCAATGGTCAGATCGTACAAAAGAAGCATGATCACTAAAACGGTGTTAATTACTGTAGGTGTTTGTTGTCAATGAACCTGTTGCTGGTAGCACAGATGAGCGTGCAGTGACTCTTCTTGTGGATGAGTTGCGGAATGTTGCTAAACTTCGATATCACATTAAGGAAGGGTATGATTCAAATCCACCTGTGCAGGTTGAAATCTTAGGATGTGCGGAAACTGGTAAGGACTGTTTATATTATTTTCAACTGCATTCAATTTTATTCTCTAATTTAATTTTGTTTGTATTACATATATATTTTCTAATTGATTATTAAAATTGTATGTATATGTAAATTATTTTATTTTTTATATATTTAATTATTTTTGCCAGGAGTTGTTGGTAAACAAAATTCTAAATTCTAATTGAATGTTATTGTTTGCATGGATTAGTTAGGGAAATGTAGTACCTCCGAGTATCATTTTTAAGACTGGTGTAACAATTATTATAAAGCCATTGCCTTTATTGTTTGTATTGTGTAATACCAGTTTGATGTAAAGCTTTGTCATTGTAACTAAAAAGCGCTATATAAATCAGTATTACTAAATGTATTGTTATTTAAGTTGATTATATATTTATGATTAAAAAAAATCATTACCATGTTTAGGTAAAGAAGTTTTAGCAGAAACGATATTAATAACATTAGAAGTATGTACTGATGTGGTCTTCAGGTCATATTTTTCTATTTTGTTCCGTATAGTTCCAACTGTCACTACAGTCTTCACGCAAACAACAACCATTACTGAACCACCGACAACCACAACTGAGATTCCAACAACCACAACGGAGATGCCTACAACCACAACGATGTTGCCAACAACCACAACAGAAATGCCTACAACCACAACGATGTTTCCAACAACCACAACAATGTTGCCAACTACAACAACTGAGATGCCAACGACTACAACCATGTTGCCAACCACCACCACAACAGAAATGCCTACGACCACAACGATGTTGCCAACAACCACAACAATGTTGCCAACTACAACAACTGAGATGCCAACGACTACAACCATGTTGCCAACCACCACAACAATGTTGCCAACGACCACAACACAGATGCCAACCACTACTATTCGTGGTACGATTAAAAATCATTTCATTATACTTAAATATTTATTTTGTATACACATATTTACCAATACCTTTAAAATATAATCTTAATTTCAATCCTAAAATGTTTCGCCATCAGAATGTGTGGAACCCCTAAGTACAATAAATGACAACTTGGAAAGTGAGCGAAATACAGACGGTGGTGAGGATGTCATTGGTATCACTCATGTTGAATCATCTGGTTGGAATCCAGATATTAACTCATTCCTCGAGGTTGTGTACTCACAACCTCTAAAAGTAACAGGTGTTGAAATTACTAGTCAGAAAGCTGCAACTATAAGCTTCACCATTTCATACAAACAGCGTGGTAGTGATGTTGTGAAAGAAATTACTGATGATAACAATGATTTAGTGGTAAGTTAGTTTAATAATAATATTGATTTTATGTAACTGTATTATTGTTGTAATTATTTTCTTGCATTCCTTTTCACTGCACGTATTGTGCTAATGTTGATATTTGTAATCTGTTACTAATTGGGAAAAAAAATATTATGAATAACTTGACCATTTCTTTATTAATATTCAATAGTAAAACATATTTACAATTTATCTTGAAGTTAATAAATGTGTTTTTTTAAATCAAATTACTAGGAGTTTGCAAAGGAACTTAGGGGAGATGGTTTGACAGACAGGGTACTTTTCTCCGAAGAAGGCATTCTTGATGTTACCTTAATAACTTTGACTCTGACTGATGTTCCAACTGAGGACATACAGGTGGCGATTGAATTTGTTGGCTGTATTGAAAAAGGCAAGTATATTTATGCTAACACACACACAATGTTCCATTTACATCTTGTAGTCGCTTTCCTTTCAAGAAGACAATTGTCAAAATATTTTGTTCATTGGTTAGTTTTTATTACAAGGAAAGTGTGTTCGATATTAAGATACATAAGTGAATGGAGTGGTTAGATCTTGACGTGATAAGTGAAGGCCTAGAAAAAATGGGATGTGCATATCAAAGAGTCAAATTTTAATAACGATTACTTGATGAAGACAAAATTCAATAATGCAAGAATGGTTGTGATGCCGGGATGCCAGGTAGGAACAGACTGGCACTAGAATTAAACCTTTTACGCTATGCAGTAAAAAGCATATCCTCTTCGTTGCATCCCCCCCCCCCTCCTCCAGTATAAAAATATGTGTATTTTGAAAGACAATTCGATTGAGAACTAAAAATTAGATTGTGGTAAAGTATATAGTAGACAGTATTCAACGCCAGGCTCCAGAGGAAAATCGTTTTTTGTATATGATACTGATTTTTCCAAGACACAAAAAGCATATTTGATGAAAAACTCGGGAACGGGTAATGAGATACAGATTTTTGAATATTTCAAAACTGGGAGAAAAGGGGGAGTAACCAGTGACTTTAATATTGTATTTCGTGTTATTATTACGCCAAAGTAGGTACAAATAGACGTCTGTACGAGTTAGTCAATGTTGGGCAAGAGTTGACCGAAATCTGGGTAGAGGTTAGTAAATGTGGAAACGAGCATTGGTACGAATTATTCGACACCCAAAAAGATGTGCCAATCCCGTTTAGTCGATTGGACTAAGGCTAGAGTTAGCTATCGTTTTGATTGCAGTTTTCCTCCTCCTCCAACGCTGAAGTTGAATACCGCGCATGTCACCTCTTGGTATGGGGTACAATGTAGTGATCCCGGCCAACTCGGCCCATATCAAGCCTAGTCATCAATATTTAATTATTTATAAGAGTTTGTGTCGAAGTTGGCTTTTTGGGTTCAAGATACTTTGGGGCCGAGTTGCTTTTATTAACCCTGAACTAAAGTTGACTATTGAGTACATATACAGAATGATGAGTAATGAGTTGATGATACAGTAGTATAAAGTGGTGATAACTATCCGACTATTTAGGGCACCGTCCCGCAACCTTTTTAACCAGCGACTCAAATCCAGATATTTAACACGCAGCCGCGACCCATCGAACTCTGGCCAAATTATCTTGAAAAATCTCTGCCAAAATAATAAATATGATATTATTGTGGTCAGGTTTGCCTCCCCTGCTTTTAGTCGCTTTTGAGTTTATTGTTTCCTCAAATTACCGTATTTAATGGTTATTAATGGTTATTAATTTATAGAGCGCAAAATACAAAAGTCTCTAAGCGCTATCAGGCAAGTGTAAAGATGGAACGGAAACCAAAACCACAAAATAAAAAAGAAGTGAAATTTGAATACCATGCCAGCACCCAAACCGAAATATGCATCGCTGGCTAGGGTTCAATCTAATTGAACTACAGTCAGCACCTGTTGAGTCTCGGCCATCTCGGATTCGGGCGCCTCCTATCCTAGTTAAAGCTATAAAAGCTAGCTGGCATGGAAATAGAAAAAAAATAAACTAAAAGGACGAGAATAAGTGGGTCTTAAGTCGTTCTTTGAAAATGGTGACAGAAGGTGACTCACGAATAATTAAAGGTAACAAGTTCCACAACTTGGGCCCAGCAACCATAAACGATCGCTCCCCACAAGACTTTAACCGAAAGGATGGACAATAAAGACTGTCTCTTATACACATCTAGATGTGTATAAGAGACAGATATGTATGTATGTACAGTATATTATTTATAT